GTTGTTTGTGCTCATTCATAAGCCGCTGAATGAATACAAAATAGACCAGACAATGCTTGAGGTTCTTACCCTTAGCATAAAATGGTTGAAGCTATTCCATCCAGCATTCTTACACATAAAATGTTGACAATTTAGCATTTCACTTGCCTCTCATTAACTACAGGAGGATGTCAGTCTTCACGGGTAGAATTTCCGCTCCTCGGCGTAGTCTTCGCTGCCTCCTAACAGTACCTGGAAGTGTCTCACAACAAGCGCGTGCCTCAACAGTTTATACTTTCCGGTGTCAGAGCGTGAAACCGCGTTCCCATTTAGAGGACTCACCTCTCATTCCTTTTTTGCGCATTCCCATTGCACCAAAACACAAATTTGTTATTATTTAATTAATTTGAAGAAATTGCTGCAGTTTCATTTTGGAACCCACTGGCTTCAGTTTGGAAGAAAGTCCAACGTCAAACGCCTCACCACATGATGCAAAACCATAGTTGTAGTGTCTTAAGTGATAGTGGATGAAACCGGCCGACTCAAGTTTTGCCCGAGTGCAGCCAGATGCATTACTTTGAAAGTCTACTTTCTTGTCTTCGGTGTACATGCGATAGCTCTGGATGCGGCTACTCAATGCTAGTTACAAATGCGTTAAAGGCTATTTCACCTTTCAAATTAAAATGTAAACCCTCATATTGCTTTCATTTGGGGTAGAAAGCAGTAGGGCGCCATTCCTTAAGTTATTGCCACCGTGTAGTCCACTACGAAAGTGCGTTCTGCATGAGTAAAGACTCGCTAATCAAACCACAAAAGTTACTACCAATAAAGTGGCATATTGATAACTTCATTTCTTCCTTATTTAGCGAGGGAAGTGCTCTGTACCCAGTGTTGGGTTTCGAGTAGCCATCAAATTGTACAAAGCCAAAGTATCACGGAAAGACGTGCAAAGAAAATGCACAAAACTGAATTATCACTTAAAGTGCGCAAATGCACACTATCTGCATTCTCGAAAACAGCAGAATGGTTGAAAGCTGATGAAAACAAGGTATCAAGGCACCATATTTTATCCACCCTCCTCTGTGTGAGTGGTAAGGGATCGTGCCATTAAATCATTTGTGAAGGGTAGAATTGGTGAGTAAGGGACAATAACAAGATGTAATAATGCACCACCAAAAGTGGACCACCAATTTCTCTGCCATTTAAATGCAGACAAGAATAATTTGAAATAAACATAGTGTATGGAAACTATTGGTGGGGTTAGCTAAGTATCACCCCAAAATTTGTTCTACTTCAAATATAACCAAGAGACTGTGCTTTACTCCTATGGTTTTTGCAACCTTATGACCGTGACGTTGGAGGACTAAAAGCCAAGGCCGGATGGTGGAAAATAAGGAAAAAAGAGGAAATTTTGGCTGCTAATTGTAATGCTTTGTAGATCATTTGACTCCTGGTCTTGATTAGACACGCATGGTTGATTGTTCTGCCTTCGCTATGGGAGGTAGCCTCTGCAATGCGCCAACATCCGCAACTACTTTTAGTTCGCCAATCAAGTCAGTTCCACCGAAATTGTGTTTTCTGTTGAATTTTAGGCAGATTTCATGGTGGCATAATAGGTATACGCATTGATCATAGTTACACCACATTTTAACAAAGGAAATAAGCGAATATAAGCCCGTCTGTGTAAGGCCCTGTTTATCTGACTACCTGCATAATTGGTAGTCACTTTGCTACTCTTCTTACACTCGTTAGCCTTTGCACAAACCAAAGCCCAACCTCTTCCCCTTTTCCTTGAATATATGTATTCAGCTCCACTTACTACTTTTATACCTCGTGGGAAGTTTCGAAATGTTGCATGTTTGCCAATTCGGCACAGTTTTGCCGAAATGATAATTCCTTTTTCTAATCGCACACAAAAGCCCGCAAGAATAGACAATTATGCAGGGAGGCATATTGCGACATTTAAAGTAAAATAATTGCTCATAACCATAGAGTCTTGATACTTCACACCAAACAGAAGGCATTAAGTGGGACCAAGTCCATGTATTCAACGTGAAACGGGATGGATTGGGTTTCGGCTTGGCCTTAAGTTCAGCCCATGCGTAAAAGAGCAAGATTAGTTACAAAGACATCGCCAGGCGTACAGACAGCCACACAAACAAAGCATTACAACAACGTTCGCCAACTTGTCAATAGAAAAGTTTAAGTATGGATCTGGAGAGGGAGTCAAAGCTTTATCTAAACATGCCCTCAAATGTTTGCAGTTAAATCAGCATTTCCAACAGTCATAAAAGTGCGGTCCGAGACCTCCTTGAAATCAAAAGCAATTTTTTTGACAAACAGGAGAACTCAGGATTTTTGGCATGGCCATGAGACCAGCCCACTCGGCCTGGAAAATTGCTCACCTATGAAAGCGCCGCTAATACCAGCAATGGATAAAAGTTAAGCCTTGCTACGGTAATAGTTTATTCCACCGCCTGTTCGAGTGACGAATTCTTTGACGGACATAGTACTTCTGCCTTCTGTGCTGGTCTTTGGGCTATGTCAAAGCTCCAAGTCTTCTTTTTAACTAAAGATACAAGTGCTCATTTTTATGCTAATTATTAAACAATGATAAGTGTTTGGATATTTTACTGGTAACACCAGAAGGCGAACCCGACTTGGTTAAGGATTCTCTTTTAAAATTCCTGCCTCTGACAAACTTCTAAGTTGTCTTAAAAAGAAACACAACTTCTTAGAATGATTAACTTCTAATAACTCCACGAGAGGGAGGCTGAGGACTACGTCTGCATATGGAGTTCACTCCATTCCCGTATTCCACTTGTATAATATTAACCACTACCTGCAAAGGTTTTGCTTTAAAGTTATTATAACATCTCAGGGATGGGTGCCTCAACAGGCATAATACCAACACCCATGCACATAAAGATGTGCCAAATCCATTATTTATGGTTAGGAATCTGCTTTATGTCATTCACTGTAAAGGTGGCCGTCGTATTGGCGTCGATCTTGATCCTCCCGCCTCTACGTCATCTCTCTAAAGACAAGAATGCACACATGCCTTATCATTACCAAAAGGCAAATCTAAAAATGCTCCCATTACAACAGCGTCCGGAAGCGAAATCTGCCAATTACGCCCAGCTGTTTCAGTCTCATCTCGTGTAGGGATGCGAGTGTCAATGAAAGTTACGCCATGTGGGAAATGTTTGACAAATCCCACTCTAGAGTTATTCGCGATAGCCACAAGGGAAAATAAATGGAACTCATTGTCTGCATGATACGAATTGGAGTTTCATCTTTAATTGCATGATTTTGTTCTCATGGTAGATTTTTAATATTAGTGACTGGCATATAAGTCATCCTATTTGTGGAGCACCGTCTAATCTTCGGACGTGTGACGGTGGCGCACATTCTCTCCCTCATAGGCTGATTCATCTGGATTGTGGAACTCCGCACTCGATGTACTTATTTCTTTCTCGGCATTGCTACAAGCCGCAGTGTGGATGGGAGCATTCCCATAGCGTGTCAAATAAAGCTCTCTTGTTAGGACTTTTGTCCTATGGGCAATAAAGTTACAGCTTTGTGCTAGAGGCGGTGGCAATTTTTGACAGCATCGCACGCCCCTTTGCAAATGAGAGCCAGAGAAAAGGTTTGAAATGTTTCGCAGAAAATGACCTTCCAAAAAACAATAATTATTATTTTCTTCCAAATGTATGTTAGTCACATGCCATTGATGCTGTAAATTTAAAATGAATGCTCGCAATTTTTAAAGACTTAGTAGTTGACGCGGCAATTAATTTGCGTATGCCGCGCATTTGTGGTTAGCCTTCGTCTTCGGATCTTTCACCTCTTTATTCTCCTGCCTAGTTCCCGGTGATTCACATGAACCTTGGCAGAACTTGTACGACAAATTTCAATATTTTCAGGAAGCCATTTTTTATTTGTAGATTTGTACCTCTTCATGCCTCCTAATGGGATCACTCGAAATATTCTCTCATAGACTTTACCCTCGAATCTTTCTTACCAGGCGCTTTAAAACATTCTCGTATGACCCGTTCTATATCGTAAATCATATCTTATCCCTTACCTCTTGATGCTAGTGTCGAAAACCCCCGATTCCCATTTTTCCAAAGCTTCAATTTTGTCTCAAGAGCTATGACTTTCCTACTCTGGAAAAGTATGAACGATATCTACATAGATCCCTGAAACGTTGGACAAGCTCCGTAGACTCGTGAGTTTTTAGCCCTAACTGTGTACTGCAAGGCTTATTTGTACCAAACTCTCCTCCCCATTTAGTTTTCCACTCCCGCCCAGGAAGACTTTATACAAAATTTACTTCCCCAACTCAACAAAAGTTAGAACTGAGTTTGATTTAAGTTACTACTGTCGGATTGTTTACGCTGAGAACATAAGAACCGTGGACCTTCCCGTCATTTTTGATCTAATGCAACAAAACCTTCCCGAAGGAATTGAACTCTCAGTCGGAGAAGTACGTCCACAAATGCACCAGACGCTAATTTTCTCCCGACTATTTGACCACTTTATGCATAGTTTTTACAATGACAGGTCTGGCTTGTTGGTTGATTAATGTTTCCGTGAATGGCTTTCCCTCCATTTTAGTTTGATCCATGCTTAGAAGAAGAAAGATACGTGTCCAACTTGGAAGTTGAAACCTTACAAGGGGAACTGATGAAGCTGACTGCGAAATAAAACCCCTTTTTATCACCTCACTGACTTGTATGAAGCTGATTAATCTGTTGCTCCGGCGCGTGTTTGTTATTCACAGGATTATTTCCTGCATCCTGCGCCTTGTATGAGCATATCCAGTCACTTTTGTTTGTACACTTTGCATTGACGACGAACGTCGTAGAGAACCTCCAATAAACCACTAGTCAAAAACACACCTCCGAACTGTTTCCTATTGGGTTAGCTACACATTGTACGCGTTCTTGTGTGTCTTAGACTCGTTATTAATCAGAAATCTATGAATACCGAAATGTCGAATTTTGTACACGAGGATATTAAACGGAAGTCTTCACAGTTTGGGACTGATCTTTCTCAGGAACAGAAGTGCCTCTCACAGTGACGACAGGCTTCTTTGTTCGAGTCCTTATGTCGTATGCAAAAGTCTTCGGAATGGGTCCCATTCCTGCTTTTTGCCAACGCTCGGCGTCCATTCGTTCGCGAGCCTCAAGCTCTGCAAGCAGCCGCGAATTGTTCATCGCTACAAAGAGCATTCGATCAATGGTGAAATATGACTGTTAGTAAACAGAAATTTAAGGTGAGTGACCAAAACTTCAACTTTGGGAGTTCAAACTAAGGTTAATCGTCTTATCAGGCAAGAAATGTGTACACACTTTCAGCCAAGAATAGAGGTGTAGCACCAAACGTACACTCCTTGAAGCCCTCAACAAATCCTTTCTTTCTTCCAAGTTGCGGTGGTGGGTTGACTTTCTCGGGGAACTTTAGATATGTCCTTACAGGTTTGGTGCGTAGTATGAGAGCCTGCGAAATTGATATTGTGTTGCTGATTGACCAATACCAAAGGAGTGCCTAGAGAAGGGAACGCAGCTAGTAGAGAGAAGTCATGAATAGGACCTTGGTTAACTTGATTTGCTCACCGAAGGCATGTGCATAATCATAAAGAAACCCACTACCGGGAAGATGCGCATTGCAAGTCGGACACCAGTTGTAAGCCCCTGAGAAGACACATCAGCTCCGAACTAAGGTAAAGAATAGATAACCAGTCTATATTCGCCATTGGTTTCATAGTGAATAAAGCATTAAATCACTTGGACTGAATTTATTAGTTCAATGGCTGAATGCACGCGTAATTTAGACAAACAGAACAGGCCAGGAAATTAATGGTAGATCCCCTATCTAGGCGCCGAAGACCCACCTATAAGCATGGACGTACCTCAAACATCAAGAAAATGGACGACATGCTATATAGTGGGAGGACATAGAAGGGGTCACAAACAGTCAGATCAGCAAACCAGCCAAGACCACCGGTTTGGAGGCTCTCTACTGGTAGCTGGGCCATTCCCCGAAGACCAGCAAAAACAGAGAGAAAAATGGGAACCTAAAGTTTAAAGGGATTATTATTACTATCTCTGTTATCGCGAGGAATGACAAGTCAAATACTTGCGTACTTGGATTAGTGCGAGACCCATGCTGTTTAGTAAATTGACGTCGTTATTTTTCATTAACTGTTGCATTTCTTGCGAAACCTTCATCACTAAGCAAAGACAGATTTTAGAAACCCATAAAGAAATGCTTTGCCATGAGGCAAAATTCTTACTTTCGATGTAGTCGGAAGCCACTCGAGCTCTTGTCATGCGATTCTGCAAGGCATGAATCTGAGGCATGACATTAGTATATGATGCCAGCTTTCGACGTTGATTGATCACGAATGGAATTAGGCAGAGGCGAATGACGACAGTAGCTAAACACACATTGCACAACTGTTGCAAAGGTTTTAAAAGCTTGTGTAGCGATCAAAGAGAACCACACATGTAATTTCAAAAAATGCAAAACAAATAAAATAAACTTATTCACATACGCAGCAAAGCTTAAGATATCAAGCGATACACGAATAGATGCATACTCGTCGCAATAGCAGCCCACCAGGGAAGATTTAGATCCACATGCAAAAACTCAAGAGCTGCTTGGTACCACCCAGATGGCCAGTAGCTATTAAGCCCAAGAGAAGCAAAGGTCGGTTCACCAAGGGCGTTAAGAGGAATATTTGCATCTTCAATGGGTGGCATCTGCGGTATGTCCGGAATTCTATCCGAAGTACAAGTAGCCAACAACGGAAACGAGGTGATACATTTCGTGATTTTAACACTATCATTAGAGGTCACCGTCCATAGAAGCCTAGAAATTCTTGTACGATAGAAGGAAGCCGACTTAAGTCGAGCCAACAACGCATCAGCTGCGCGAACAAACGCCATGAAGAATAAAACCGTGCAATAGGGGATTAGTAAGACTTGGCCCTGGATGACCAGCCAATCACCAACAGAAGGTTGACTTCGAAGTAGCAAGGACACTGTATGCTATGAAAATATTCAAGTTAAAAAGATTTTACAAATCGAGGTGGGATGAAAAAGGTGAAAATAAGAGTGCTGAGGGCAAGACATTAATTAACCTCAAATGTAAATGGTAAAACAAAGGAGCTCTCGTAGCTTTGCGGTATCGTGAAAAGCAGCATCATCAAAGATGGTTTAATGGGTTTTATGTAAAAGAGGATGATTTCCATTTATGGTTAAGGATCAATCAATGTCAGGCTCAATATGGACACAATGTTTTTAACCATCTTAAACAACCATAATCCTATAACTTGGTTAGGGCAACCTTGGAAGATTTTAAAACGTTTGGCGACTCAGTCATTTCTAATAGCAGCAGTGTTTGTTGAATAGGCGCAGCACACACTTTGTTTAATTACCTAAGCTGGGCCGAATATCCTTCAAACCATCCCAACAATTTAAATACTTCTGTGCGGCAAATTTGGGCGAATTTTACACAAGAACCGTGTGTTTTCTGTCTTTGCAGGAGCCTAAAGACGCTGCCATTATAACCGGAGATTCCACGTTAGGTAAAAGACATAAGGTAATGCTAAATGTAGCATTTTGAGACTTCCCACCGTGTCGAAGAAGCAGTAAGCTGAGCTGGATACTTGTATCTTAAGGAGAACAAAGCAGTTAGACCTGAGCAGCTTACACATACAAGCGCCAGACAAATCCTGAAATGAGAGCCATACGTTGGGTGGCCCCATAAACAAAGCATTACACTGAATATCTGTACTGAAGATCAAATGTAAAAGATACACTGCAACTGTAATGTCGTTCTGCCCACTATGTCCTTCATCATAGTCTTTTAGGAAAGGAAAAGCTGGAGGATGACTTAATGGGCATTTTCAAGATAGTTACTGTGGCGTCCAGAGACTTCTCATAGGGTAGAAGAAGGCAGTAAGTGAGGTTGGATAAATGTATTCTCAATAGAACAAAGCAACGGGCCTAAGCATGGCTCGAAGGTCAACCCACGAGTATAAGGATCAGACAAATCCTAAAGCGACCGTTGACATCAGATATTCCCATAAACAAAGCATTAAACTGCCCCTCTCTTCTTTTGAGCGACATCCTCGGTGCTCCCCCTAATAAACCTCCCGCGCCAGCCATCGCAACATATTCGCTACTACATGAAAGCGCCCACGAGCCAACCACGCAAGTCAACAGATGGCGTGAAACTGAGGAACCGTACTTGGTCTCCTCTATAGCCTCAATTGGATATGGAGCTACGTTTGGTCTGACAACAAGATTTGGGGTCGCAGACACCTATTGACCATCAATTACTTCCAGGACTAGACGGTAGAACTCTGGTCTACAGCAGACACGTTACAGGGAAAACGGGATGAATCACTGTCCACGCGACCGTTGCAAATGCATCTCTTCCACACCGTAGGCCCATGCAACAAGCGGTACGTGATAGGATGGAGGTCATTGGAAAAAAGTCCAATAGCCTTCCTCTGCCACCAGTGTGGCGGCCCGAGACTTCTTACCCGGTAGAAAAAGAGAACAGAGCAAATGGACTTGAGCATGGCTCGGAGGCCAGCTCATGAGTACAAGAGCCAGACAAATCCCAAAGTGATCGCCGAACGTCAGGTGGTCACATAAACAAAGTATTACAGTTACAATTAAAAGGAGTATAAGTAAATCGAAACCATCAGAGCTAGTCTGATAACGTGCCTGTACTCTGCTTAAGTACGGCAAAGTAAAATTGCGCCCCTTCACTGCAGTGCGTAATTTTAGCAATACTTTACTTGACCACCTTGCAGTCACTTTGTCATCCGACTGGCTCTCGAGTGCACAGTCTGGTGTTTGGAGCATGTTAAATTTTGATCTGTAATACACTATTTATGCATTGGGATTTGCCTAGTTCTTGTAAGGTCAGTCTTGATCCCTTTTCTCCTAAACTCGAATATCTGCATTTAGCCTAATCTTATGCCCTCTTCTATCCAGTGGGTTGCCTCAGAACACTACACTAGTGGCAGCGAAATGCAAATCACCCATTTTTAACGACTTCTACCTTTATGTGCATCGCTTGCAACATCCATTTGTGATGCGAGATGCTCTTAAAATACTTTACAATAGAAGGATTACTGGTGAAGTTTCCATTCGGCTTTGCCTTGACCCTGTGCCTCACGCAGACTATTAGCAGCTAAAGCGACAACTCCTGAGCCATCCATCTCCTTATTTCACCTCTGCATAGGTGTCATAACGAACACTATCCCGAATCTCCTTACAAGACTGTGATCCCGCTGCTCAAAAAGAGAGGAACAGCGTAAAACTTTGATCATGTGAACATTTAGTGTCTGGCGGCTGCTTTGGCTTTGTTTATACTTGTACACGTGAGATTGCCTTCGGGCCAGGCACAAGCTTAATTCTTCTATACGGACTTCAAGAGAGGGTTAGTTGCAGTAGATTTCTTAGACACTGATTACAGGAAGAACGAGGATGGAAGTCCAGATGAGCCGAATAGCAGATATCACTCGGAGTGATTCCTCCATGTTCAAATTTGGTTCCCGCCTCTCTCCTGTAAAGGTCAACTTAAATACTAGCAATTTACAACTAATGCCTTTTTCTATTCAGCAAGAAGTTTCAGGAGCCTGTAATTTTGTTTCCATTTTAGTTTGAGACCTTTTAGTGTAGTTCAATATATCTCTGCACAGTAAACCATCTCTTGTGATATACAAGGCAAAGGATGTAGGGGCAGAAATCCTATTGAAGTCTTACGAGTTACAGTTGTGCTAGGAGGTGTTGATAAATGAACAATCATACACATCGGTTCGGCCTTAGTATTTTGCCCGATTTTATCGCGATCTCTGAGTTACATACAGTAAAGATGCTCCAGTTTGTACGGTTGAAAACAATCCTATCTTGCTTCGCTCGAAGCATAAAGCACACCAAGGTTTTATAAACGCATACAAAAAATGTAAAATATATATATATTTAAATAACGAGTAATCATAGCGCTTTTCTCCGATTGGTATATTTGATCCTTTCGGCTATTAAGCCTGACTGACAATCTGGGTCGTGTCTGCGCGCATACGATGCTAAAGGGTCGTGGTAACGAGCCTCTGAAGCTTGAACAACTTCAAACACTTAAGGAGCATAAATATTCGTCGAGAGGTTCTTCGATTTCAGAGTGCTACTTTCAAGTGTTTTGGTGCAGTCTAGTCCCCTATATACCTAAATGTATCGCTCCGAACACCTTGACGCTCACAGGGCTGATTATTAATTCAGTTAGTGTTCTAATTTTGCTGTACTATAGCCCTGATCTGAAGTCTGAAGTAAGTCAATAAGTCCAAATAATTGGTTTTAGGTGCCACCTTGGTCTCTTGTGCTCGCTGCATTATGTGTTTTCATCTACCAAACCCTGGATGCACTGGATGGCAAACATGCCCGCCAAACTAATACGGTCACTCCTCTTGGAGAGCTATTCGATCATGGCTGTGATGCGGTTGCTTCGGGTAAGGTCCTGCATCAATGCCCTTACAGCCTTCAGTTTTTGTTCCTCTCTGCTTGTGTGTGACTGTGGGAATTGGAACACACCCTATTGTAGTATTTATCCAATTCTTCACATTTATTGCGCTTTTCTATATGGCTCACTGGCAGTGTTACATAACTGGATATTTGGAATTTGGAAGGTAAGTTCAGTTTTCTTGTCGACTGTTAGGCTCGATGTTACCGAAGGACAAATTGGTGTTATGCTAGCTCTTCTCTGGACAGCGGTATTTGGTGTAGGATTTTGGAGTAATCGTGTAGGTGGCCAGAATTTTTGCGCACTTTGCTGACACAATCTTTTTGCAATTTTGGACGTCGCTTTGCCTTTTTTAGGTTCCGATCATTGGAATGCCGCTTAAATATGTGCCCTTTCTAGTGATTTCAACGGTAGCGATTATAAACATTTCTCACTTTTTTTCAATAATCTCGCAAGGTGGAGCTGGAAAGGCAGGGACAACTGTTGCTGTGAGTTTCTTACATCCGCTGGTTCGTCATTTATTGCTTTTAATCGCTTTGATATGCACATTTTAGTATACTTTTCCATTAATGGGTGCGGTATTGAAAATAGGTTTTCAGGCTTATTTGAATCTTTATACCTAAGGGCTTGCGCTCCGCATTTTCCCCATAAGCATTCATACGCTTCACACTTTGTCATTTTAAATAACTTGGAAGAAATGTGTATAGAGTCTGGAAGTATGTGCAGTGACTTCCCTTTCATTTAGTGATAAGAATATAAAGTTATTGCTATGCCTCTTCAGAGCTGATTACCTTAGATAACCGTTTGGTAGCAATTGTAATTAAACTGCGCATAGATTGGCTTCATTATCATCGATGTTGCCATAATATTCCTGCTTGTGCCTGCCTCACGCCACTCTGTAGGGCGCTCAATGGGAAGCAGGAAAATAGTTCAAATATCTGGGCAGAGATCCGTTTTATTACTGATCTGTTTTTTAACGATCCTGGGTGTTCTTTGTGCTGGGGCTCAACACGTTGTTAAGTCAGCGTTCATCTTTATGCTAATAACCACACGGTCTTGGGATTAGCTAACGCGTTCATTACGCTAGGCTGTTGCTACTTTCAGGAATATGGGGAACACTTCGCGCTAATTGGCCTAAAAATCAAACTTTTATCATGACCCAGTGTTTCTTATTTGAAGCAGCATTTGCGAATCTTAGCAGGAAATTTTCTTCCCTCAAGTGGTTAAGTGTTCATTTAACGCAACTAATTTACATTTGTAACCACGACCACCCGCTGGCGTTTAACATACTGAATCAAGTTCAGCAATATCCATGGGTTCTCATGTGCGGGCTTTTATGTTAAAGTATTTGGCTAATCAAGCATTTGTGGGTGACCACCCATTTCCACTATAAACATCGGTAAATTGGCCTCTTCCTTCAACTGTGTATCCTCAGGATGGAACCGTTGTAAATTCACTTAATTTATGTTCCATACAGCCCCTTAGTAAGGGCTGCCACTGGCCATATTTGAAAGACAACGGTTGAGTGTTGCGTAGCCCTCATCGGCAAAGTGGATGGCGATCAACGTCTGTGCTTCCCCAGCTTTATTTAGTATTTTATTTTAAACACTATTCGCTTCATAATTTCACTTCATTTAGAATACCAGTGTTCTCTTTCCGGCATTTCCGTTCGGCTTGGTTTTGTTTTTGGCAATAATGGTTGCGGTGCGCTCACCATTGCATCTTTACACGAACCATCTTGTCCTCTTTCTTATCACCTTCGGATTTGTTGCCGTCAAGGTCATCTTGAAGCTTGTGGTATGTTCTATTCCCTTTCTTAGTCTTTTATCCTATGCTTAAAGTAATTTCGCGCTCTTTTGCAAAAACTGCATATTGTGGCCGTACATAAGCTTGCGCTTTATTCCTACAATTGATGGAAATATGTAGTCCATTCACACCCCATTGCAAAACAGGGATACGTCAGAGGAAGTTAATCAGTTTCATGCTTATCCAATTTTGGTTTTGTGATTAGTCCTCGTAAAAACTGAAATCATACGAGCCTGGATCAGGTGTCATTTAGAGCTGCAGTTGAGCAGACCTCAGCGCCCAGTGCGTTTTGTCACTCCGCGCCTGTGCTCGCGTGCTCACCCCAAATCTCGTGAGGTGGGTCCGTTGGAACACGTGCACTGCGCTTTTGGTGTGCCTTTGTACCTGCTAAGCAGAATCGAAAGTGGTTTTGTGTTTACCCATCCCTTCGACCCCTCACGACTACCCCACCATCACTGTCTGATTTAGCATTACGAACTTTACTCGCTTAAGTGGATTTTTTGTTCTACCTATTCCCAAGCTTCGTAGCAAACTTTTCGATGATTCTCAAGTAATTGGCTAGCCTTCCCTTAAATAATGGTTGGGCAGTCGTTTGAGGTTTGTCAGTTTGCTGCATTGGATCGGTAAGTCTACAGTGACGAAGTTAAATTGTATTTAATCTTTCAATTCTGGTGATGTTAGCATGTTGTCAGTCTCCCAATTCGTCCTGTTCGACCACTCTTTCTAATTGGTGTCGGTTGATAGACTATACTGATGAGCCTTCATGGGTTTTACTTGAACTTTTTTGACTGGGATTTATCATTGTCGATAACTCGTCTTAACTCATGTTAGTGTTCTCTGCCTTGATAAGTAATGTTTACTTTGGTTTAAAGTCCACCTGTCTAATCCTCATCATTTAAATCCTACTCATGTTTCCTGAAACATACAAAAAAGGGGTAAATAATTTTAAAGGTTGGTCATTTGTTTATTTGTTATAATACATTTCCGGGTAAATTGTGGAAAGGTTGCGAATCTCTGAGCTTTACGAAAGTGAGGAAGGGGGGTTAAATTTATGCAAAGTGTGATTCATGGTCAAATATCGCCTTGCCTGCATTTTTTAAGATTGCATAGATGCGCTCCACCGCTAAAAGGGCAGTACAATAGATTCTACTGGGTTCAGTTATAAACATTTGTTAAATCTCATTTCTTTTCGACACGCTACGTTTTTCACCGGTTTGGTTAGTATGTTTGTTTACATTCCTCTTCATTCATATTATTGACATCCTTATCCATTTGTCGCTGGTTCCCAGCCATTTTTCTTCATTGTGTGAGGGGCCACATTTAAACTCATTGTAAAAATAAAACACAGAAACTTGCGCACAATGATGTGCACACAATTCATGGCGTTTTCATAGACCTGGAGCAATTTTAATTACGAAGAACGCCTAGCATACTGGAATTTTAATGCTACTTTGGGAAAGCCTTCGTTTAATGTGGAACCTTGAGCCATTTCGATGATCTAGTTGTTTATAGCCTCACCTCCCTTGGTCTTATTTGATTCCAAATTCGGAGCTTTAAGGAGGCAAAATGTTCCCTAGAGCATTTATGAACGAATGTTTTACATGTAGGTTTTAATGAATACTTGATATTTTAATAAACATACAGCCAATGAGCTCCTCGTATAAATTACTGTTCATTGTAGGTTGATCATATGTCAAAGAGTGAAATGACCTTGGCGGACTCAGTCCTGATCGGTCCGTTTGCTCTATTCTTCAATCAGTACTTCAATTGTCCTATTCCAGAGTCTTTTGTGCTCTGGTGCTGCTGCGTAAGTTTGCCTTTATCGGAGTGATGCTTTTTAACTCTTCCAAGTACTTTTGCAATGCTTTACAATGGAATTCCTCCTGCATTATCGCATAGAGCTGCGGTTTTCCCACAAGCAAATTGGGAAATAAATTGTTGTATTATTAGAACTGATGGCTACCGCCGTTCTACCTCACCAAAGTAGTATGTGGAGAATGGAGGCACGCCTTTCCTCTTTGGTTGTAGAAAACGGCTGCTCTTTACTCTTGTCCTTTTTTCACGCTTTTGCAAATAGATTCTTGCTGTTGCTGATGTGCTGCTCTACTCCTCGAATGTTTGCATACAGATAGCGGATTACCTTAACATCTACATATTTCGGGTGGGCAAGCCACCCATAGTTCTAGTGCGGCAGCCGTCGCAGTTGCAGCAGCAGCAGCTGGATGCGAATGTCGGTTTTCCAGTACCCGCTTTCTCAGCCCGACCCTCTCACTACCAGCGCTCTAAGTGGGGGCCACACTAGCTCAAGTTGCCAGTTGCTGCCCATATTTGTATAGCTCTTTTCCCGCCTTCTCTTTGATATGCCTCCTCTCCCCGCAGGACTTTGGTCTTTTTCGTGCCTCCTCAATACCCTCTGAATGAATGCAATATGTGATCCCTCATCGCCTACGACTAGTGCTACTACTGCTTCCCTTACTTCTGGGTTGGGAGCTAAGTGGGAACTGTAACCTTATTCCATCCCCCTCCCCCATTTCTCACATCATAGAAGATTGAGCTGTTGTTGCCCACAGAAAGGCGGATTGATGTGTGCGAATCACCCGAGCATGGCTTGCTGAAGCAACACGTTCATTACTATCATCACATTTGCAGAGCCTTACTTCCCTCCACCATATCAAAATGTGTAGTTTTGGTTGGACTAGTGTGTCAATGAACATAAAACTGAAATATATGCGGGTTATCCTTGTGTAGGTAATTTTATCGCCATTGTAATCTTTGTGATGGTGGTTAGCTCCTCTTAGCCTCAACAGAAAACCCATTGATAGTCGCAAATCATGCTAGTGAGGGTCAGCGGCTCTCCTACAGCTCAGAATGGCGCGTGACGTGGAATCTGCATCCCTTAAATCGAGTGATGCGCCTCATTGACATCAAGTCGAAAGTGTTTTGCATCGTGACACTCGTTCCATTCAGCAAATACTGCGTCATGATAGGTATGCTATGGTCATGCGCAAGCGTGTTGGTGACTCTCATGTTTCACCTTCACCAAGCACACAACTACTATTTCACGCATTTGTGGAAACAAAGCCATACATTTAGAATGCAACGGGTGATTACACGCGCAATTTCACCTCACATCAAATGCGTTTAACACCGTTAATCCCTTGAGTCGAGGGCAAAATTTACTGTACAGCTAGTACACATAGTGTACTGCACATGCAGTGTTGCGCTCATCATCAAATTTGACTTTAAAATGGATCGGGATTTTAAGCTCCAAAGGGCACGCGAAAGCATCAATAACATTTCGGCAAACACGCAGTTGACACGACGGTGGGGCTTCCCATCTGCTGTGCGGCTCGCAGTGAATCCGAAGGGGACTCAAGCTGTTACAGGGTGCAGCGCTCAGCTGCTGATATGCCGAGAAATACTGAATAACGGGCAGAGGATTCACCTTAACGACTCGAACGCTAGTCGATGTCGTAGTAAGATGTATGAGCGTTCACAACCAACATTTGAGCTATGAGACTACCACAAGGTTCCCACTCGACTATAGCCTCGACATGGTAAGGAGTATTCCGTTTAGTCCCATTTGCAGAAATAGGGGGCAAGTCCGCCTCTCGCATGTGGTTGTTGCTGTGATCTTCGTAACACAAGTAGCCTTGTAGTGGACGTTGTCGAGCTTCTCATGCATGGTGCAGCTTTCACATGGGCTTTTGGGGAGTGTTGTATCGTCACTGGTACTTCTTCCGCATAGCGTATTCCTTTTTGTGAAATGGTTTCCCAGCATTCTGCTACGTAGTTCAGGCGTTCCTTCATTCGCTCAATCTAATCAGATGGCAAGAGCTTTGCTGAAGCCACAAATAGCCAAATTGGCACAACTGAACAAACTTGAACAAATGAACAACTTGCAGGAAAGCGTACTAGCTCGCACAGTTGTGCGCAGTTGGGACCTAGATGTTGATGCATCTTGTACAGTTAAACAAAATTGTGATTTAGGTATGCAATTAAGTATGTAAAATTAAATTGACGCATACAAATAACGTCTATTTTCGTTGTTAAGATCGTTTTAAAAAATTCAAAATATTTTGTTAAAAATTATTTTTTGTTTAACTTTATTATACGTTTTATATAATACTAGCTGGTTTTGTATTTAAACTTTAGACAATTCAGCTGTCTGGATTTTAACATTATTTTACTAAATTGCAGTCTGTTTATTCTATCTAACAGGCTTGTGAAAACACTAGCCCACATGCTCATGCTCTCCCGTTGGAATCGTCGCTCTCATGTCACACTATAGGTCGTTCAACATTTTTGATCTATTAAGATTCGCAAACGTGTAGGTATCTATGTTGCTCTTTTATGGCACTGCCAATAATGATTTGCGTGCAAAATTTGTCATTAAACGTTTCCATCGACCTCAATCGCAAAGTCTGACTCCCAGTAGGTGGTTGCTCTTTAATTTTTGCTCTACGCTTTGTATTTTTTATGGGTACACTCTTGTTTGTGCATTATTGGGTCATTCAAAAGTTAGTGTGTAGACATACTGATGTATTCTCTTTAGTTCATCTCATTAATATTTTACTTGTTCATAGCCGGCACATTGTTCTATAAAATATTTACAACTTCTAATCTTATTGCAATTCAGCCCATTTTGTTGTCATTTTAGGAATCTCGATCCGTTTACAGAAACTGTATCCTTTTCCTTGGCAGAATTTATCAAAGCCTAAAATCGTTAATTTAACCTGGTACATATTGTCTCATTATCGGTTGTTCACGATGCCAGTGCTACACTTAGTAGCGGAAAGCTGATTCCCTTGACTTTAGAGGTTGTAGTATAGCTCATCATACTACATGCAATACATGTCCACATGGCCGGAGTATATGCAAGTTGCTGAGTCGCCTGTGCTGACGGTGTTTGCTTCAAAGGCGGACTCGGTACTAGGAGGTAGAATTATGGGTTACATGATCGCCAAGTCCGAAGGTTATGGTGAAAATTGGCACGGGCACGTCACTGCGCTTTCTGTTGCACCTGAGTACCGAAGAACGGGTCTCGCCAGTCGTCTCATGCTTGGATTCGAAGATACCTCTGAGAGGCAGGTGTACCTTATATTTATCACGGAAATCATCGAATATTCCTATGCACCCTCTAGTTTTCCTACTTTTTTAAACTACCCTTTGTTGTACGAATCCATATTTGAATGAAATCGAAATCAGTGACATTAAGTTTAAGTTTGTCACTCTATCAAACACCAATTACTACCCGTCCGAATAGCAGCTGATTTTACATATTTTGCAACCTAAATTTTTGGAGCACCTTATGGTAGGATTTTTTTGGTAGCGAAATTTGGCGAGGTCCTCTTACTCGGTTTACTCTATGGGTTGTAAGTCTGGTTTTGGGCTGACTTAGTTAATTGACCTACCTTTTGATGCCATTTTGCTTACTTTATCTCCATTAAGTAACCATTTGTCTTATTGGCATGAGGATGTGATCTACAAGACTTCAAATACTGAACGCGTTTTGCGGTTTCTTTAGGAAGAAATGCTACTTCGCTGACCTCTTCGTGCGTGCCTCCAATGAGTTGGGACACTCGGTCTACACGAAGTTGGGGTACATAATCTACCGTCGGGTGCTTAACTACTACTCTGGCAACGACGACGGAGAAGACGCCTTTGGTGAGTTTTTATCAAGATGCAACAATTTAAAAAGGCACTGTTTTGTTGTTATCGGCGAATTCGCTGTGAATATGCTGTGCTTATGCTTTTATGTTTTGTCAACTTCTCAACTAGGAAGTAGATGTTGAAATTAGCATAATGTGGTGTTTAACAACGTCTTATATTTTTTGCGCTTTAGATATGCGGAAAGCACTCTCAGCGGATAAGAAGCGTCAATCTGTTAAACCCTTGACTCGACCTGTCCATGTTGATGAGTTAGAGTTTGCCTGACATTTGTAATGTATTACCTTATTTGCTCCTTGGTGCTTTTGCATTTTCACGTTATTTAGGGTTAAATTGCTTAGAGTAGCACACTGTTTCGTTTACTCTTGCTTCTCCCCTATTATTCTGGAATGCTCCATTTGTGTTAGGCTAAAGCCTTAATTTCTTGAAATTTGCAGACGATAGGCTGACATTAATACATACAAATTGATAAGATTGAGGTATTGAGCCTCTTTATTGGGACTTGAAAGTTGAAAGGTCAGTAGACATGTCTAGCATTTCTCAAATCATCATTTTTACCCTGAGAAAATTTCGATCCACAGGTATTTGTAGGCTCATGTATCAAAAAAGGCGACCTTTTTGTAAACTTCAGTGTACTATACTAAGCTTTGCTGGTCGTTTGAGGTCGAAGAAGTGCTCTTGAATTGTGTACAAATCTACTTGAAGCTGCTGCTTAGATTGGTAAATATGAGAATTGGTATGAGAAGATCTCTAGTGCCGTACTGCTGATGCTTTTATGTAATCTCTATTGTCAACGCTATTAGCTTAGCAGACACCATTTTCATTCAGCTGGGTTTACCTCTTTAAAAATTTCATGATAACTGCAGCTGGGTCTGCGATATGGCTAGGAAAAGGCGGTTTTAAATTTTAAGCTGCGTGGATGCAAGCCACTCAAAGTCAACCAGACTAAGGCAGTTCATTCTTCCGCTTCATTATTATTCAATAGAGGATTTTTAAAACTTAACGCTCACTAATACTGAATTTTCAGACCTTTAAAATGGTAGGAATCTATTATTTATTCTTCTTCAGTCAAGTAAATTCTGAGTGTGTAACATGATGTGGATCAGACTTAGCTGTTCTCCTCAAATTTCCGTGAGATGTTAAGGAGGAGATGCACAATTTTCTGGATGCGGTTTATTTCGAATAGACGTCTGCGTTTCGCATTTTTATGCACTTTTTGACATTCATGTAGGCAAGCAGCCAAATCGGGGATTGGCCCCACGATCTCAGAGACGTGTCAAGCCACACCTCCGTGCGTGCTTCTACCGTTTAGTACCGGTAAACGTCGCATGTGCATTGCGATAATGTGTACTGGCCCGACAATTTGAGTGTTGCTGTAATCTTGGAGCGTTGCTCTTAGACATGCGGGTCTCGCATACATAATTGAATGCCTATCAAATGTGGGAGGTGTTAGCGCTTCAGAGTCGACAAGTCGCTACGCTTGTCATCTGATGCTATTGCCACGGCAACGAATTCAGCTGTGTTGCCAACTGTTATTTGACCTGCACTTTCCATCATATTAGAAGGTGGAGATGAAATGGGACAAAGTTGTCACGTTTTTATCAGGGTCGCTTTTCTGTGACCTATAATTGGTATCTTTCGGTGATTAGCTGTCATTGTTCTGAGGGAACGAAAATTGTCGTTTTACTTCTTTTGCTCGAAATTATGGAGAGAGCACCGTGTCATCCTCTTTAGCGAAGTAAGCATCCCTACAAACGCTAGTTTGATTCCCTACATAAGTAAGGCAAAGTGATTATGCGAATAACCGTGTCATGTGAGCACAAACGAGGGTTCGCACATATTCAAAAAGAGCTTCCAGGTTAGAGCAAAGGTAAATCGTAACCCAAACGCACCCGAATTCCTAATATAGTTGCAACGTTGTGGGCGAAAGGATAAGACACAACAATTCAATAAGCTAAGAGATGACTTCAGCGGTTATCTGATGCGCTTTTAGGCAGGATATCTAGTTTGGGACTGATAAGTTGAAAGCGACGCTGCCCATGAACCATTTGGAATAATGTCGTTACAAGGCTGGTGGTCTTATTTGTGCGAGATGTCAGATGTGTCTTGGCTCCGGAGAGTTACGGTTTGGCGTGCTCTCAATTGCATGAAATTTTGATGAGCGAAGGACGATGCTCAAAGGAGTAGGTCGACTGGTGGTTACGTTTGCTCATTGAACCTTGGTTTTAATAAAGCGGTCGATTTGCGTCTACGTCATCATCCCAACGGGTATGGAGTACGCCAGCATGCCCAGCCTTACTGTGCTTTGTGTATTCCCATTTCGGCAAAGAGTTATCCCTTCTTTTATTTCAAGGAAAGCCTCAGGCCATGGGTTACGTCACATTTTAGAGCAGAAAACAGCAACGCTGGGCCAATGGTTCGGAGCATTCAAAAAATTTTGAGACGCCGTGATTTCGCTCTTCCGATGATGTACTTTCAGTGATAGATAGCGTCTAAATGAGTTTCTATCGCTAACAATATTGCACAAAATTCGGTTTGTGTGTGTAATTCTTCCTTGCTAAAGGCATCGCGTTGGAGGAGTGATGTGTAGTCTTCGTTTTGAAATAACTTCAGAAAGTATTCGAAATAAATAATGCTTTCAGACATCTTAAGCAATCAAACACCGCTCAAACTATTACATTGTGTCTTGATAAGTCTCAAAGTTTGTAGCAGAGCAATAACAATCGAAACTGAAACGTTCTTCCATAATGATGGCATTTGGCTGTAGTAAAGTCGTTTAGGTAACTCCGAAATTGGTCCCTCCACTATTTGTTGCTGGGGTTGTTTCTTTTTAGTTTGCCTAATTTGCTTGACCTATTGGTTACCAAATTTCGACCTTATATTTGTTCACCCAAGAACAAACATAAATCAAGAACCCACGAACACCGTCACTTGGTTTGATGATATCTGCGGACATTGAGTTAGAGGTGGCAACATCCCTCCATGTGATGTTGGCGCCTTTAATCCGCTGACGCACCCACGCACTCAGCATTGAACCGTTTTTCTGCGCTTTTTAGCCAACCAAATCAGCGCTCGATCGACTACAACACCACCGTCCGTGATGCCAGTGTAAACAATGTCAGCCACGCTACGATCTGACCTTACACTGAATCCGATGTTCGACACACTGTTCACTACTGCACTGCGGAATGCTCAGCACGGTTTCCTTTCTCCTCTTCCTCGTTATTCCTGTTCCTGCGGCTCGTGATGTACGTTTAAACGTCTCCATTGTGGCATAACCGTGATTCTCTTTGCAAACACGATTGCACTAACTTTACTTCCCGATGACCAAATTTTTTGCCAAATGGCTTCTCTGCTAGTTGTAATATCCAAATGTGTCTTCATTGTTCCTGGAAGCTCATTTTCATTATTAATCTTCTCCCTTTTATTGGTATTTTGGGAACAAGCATGAGTGCATCACTTGTATTTAGGCCTCATTATCATGCCTTGGTTCATCGTCCGTGACAGCCTTCCT